CCCTTTATCTGATATGTCATTTGCAAATATCTTCTCCCATTCTGTCGGTTGTCTTCTGGTTTTGTTGACTGTTTCTTTTGCTATGCAAAAGCTTTTTATCTTGATGAGGTCCCAATAGTTCATTTTTGCCCTTGCTTCCCTTGCCTCTGGCGATGTTTCTAGGAAGAAGTTGCTATGGCTGAGGTCAAAGAGGCAACCAGGGTTTTTTAGTCAAGAAGGGCTACAGACCCCACTGTAGTGAAAACTGGGCTCTGACTGTGAACACCCGAATCCCCAGGTCAGTCGCCAGGACAGATCAGCTATGCTTTCCACAGGGGCAGGTTTAGGAGCCAGTGTCTCAAATAACAATAAGCAAGTCCTGGGACAATGACTCTGTCTTCACTGACAGGAATGAGTGAGCTTGCCTTACCCTTCACAATAACTGATTCACATCATCCATATTTATGCAGTGCATGGCCCATGATATTTTCCCATTTAAACAAATATATCAGGTTTTTGAGGCTCTGACACTAAGCTGATCGGATATCATATTGCATGAGGTTACTGTGAAGGCTGAAGATTAGATCTTAAATATGTAAGTCAAGAGCCTAATACTGTGCCTGGCACATAGTAGACATGCAATACATGCTAGCTACTATTGGTATAAGGATATGGTGACACTTTTACTTTCTCAAAGAAATTTGAAAGCAAAAATTCAAACTGTATAATGTGTATTATTACTAGGAATAGGTCTCTTATTCTGACATAAGAACCACATGAAATGTGTGTGTATATAATATACACATACATATAAAATATGCTCACACAGCATTTGTAATTCATTGTTAAATTATTCACCTGTGCAAAATGAAAGGCTTGAATTAGGATAAATCTCACAAATATTTAAAAATAATATAACTTATTAGTAATACATAGTATATTTATTATATACATATTAATAAATAGTAATAATTATCTGCAAAATACTACTGGGTATAGAACTTCTTGATAGGTATGAGGTATCTAGTTTAAGTTTTATTATGCTGTGATTATCAGAAGTCTTTTTATACTCATGGGAAAATAAAAACTGAAGAATCTGGATTGCCTGAGAGAGAATTAAAAAATACATAGGTGAAGACTTGAAATCCTAAATCAAGACCTGAAATCAGGAAATGGAAATCAAGTGGCATATTGAGTATAATATAAATGTTCATCAACAGAAAACATGCTCACTGGAATGCCTCAAATTCAGATATGCATCCTTTTTTTTTTTTTTAAGATTTATTTGAGAGCGAGAGAGTGAGTGCATGTGGGGAGGGAGGAGGGCAGAGGTAGAGGGAGAGAGAGTCTTACGCAGACTCCCACTGAGCAGGGAGCCCAACCCTGGCTGGATCTCATGACCCTGAGCCAAAACCAAGAGTCAGACACCTAACCACTGTGCCACCCAGAAGCCCCCAGATATATATATCCTTTTATCAGAAACCCTGACATTATTTAGACTTAAAGATTATTTAGCATCTAGGTCAGATGATTTCCTGCCCTCCATAGGAAACCTATTTCTTCATATGACAAGTCTGCACTATAAGAAAGCAATGGTATATGTGTGATGGGGAGGGGAGAGGAGGGGAGGGGAGGAGTGAATGAATAGTGGGGAAGAGAAGTGACTCTCATCTGCATGGAGTTCCTATTCTATGGGAGCAGCACTACAATTTTCTATATGAGAATGCCCCTAAAAAATAATGTACACTTGTGGGTGATTTCCTCCCTTACCAAGGGCTCAAGTGTAAAGGCTATATGCACTCTCTTTTGTTTCTATTACTCTGAACCACGGATAGAAGGATGCAAGGAAAGCAGGACAGATTTTCTGAGCATCTACTATGTGCCTTACATCAAACTTGGCATCATTTAATCCTTAACATACCTTCCAAGTATTATTAGCTCCACCAATACAGAAGAAACAGACTCAGAATTTTAATCAACTTGTTTCAAGTCATCCAGTTAGTAAGAGATGGACTTAAGATTCTAAGGCCTCTCTGCCTCTAAAATCACAACATTCCCTCTATACCATAGTGCCCTTCAAAATAGTTTCCCAGAAAACAGAAGAGGAGGGAATTTTAAAAAGTGACAGGAGACCAGCTCATCATCTAAGGGAACAAACTGCTTACATCAATAAGCTAGATCACTTAATAACTCATTTATACCACTAATTCCAAAATATGTGATTTATGTTCAGTATTATTCACAGAGATTTCTGACCTAGCTCCACTCAGATAGTAACA